GCGACTGTTTGGCCTGAAGAAGGCCCAGGGGATTTTATCAAAGTAAAGAAATGCCTGAAGGGAAATGAAGAGGACAAAACCAGGCTTTTTTCAGTAGTTCCTAGCAACAGGAAAAGAGGCAATGAGCGCAAACTGAAACATGGAAGGCTCCCTCTGAGGATCAGGAAACACTAGCAAAGGTCGCCCAGGAAGGTGGTAGAGTCTCCGTCCTTGGAGATACTCAAAAGCCATCAGAACATGGTCCTGGGGAAAGCTGCTCTGGGTGGCCCTGCCTGAGTGGGGAGGCTGGACCAGATGTCACCTTCAGTGATTCTGTGAAATGTCTGAGTACTTGCTCTTTGGTAGGTAGTTCTATTAGGAAAGGGGAATCAGTTACAGACAAAACACACAGTTTTACTTAGGCAAGTACTTAAGCATAGGCAGAATTTTTAATAAGTGAGTAGTCTCATTGATATTAACAATACTACTGATATTTGTACTGTAACAATGTCAAATATTCAGAAATTAACTAGATCCGACATTTAACTAACATTTATCTGAATCCACTAACAATCACAGTTATAAAGAGTTAAAAAAAAATCACACTTTGACTAGAGTCCTACATGAGACTAAACGTGGATGACTGAAGGATATCCAGACTAACTGGAGGATGAAGGACAATGCACAGCAGGACATGAATGTGGAGATAACTGCATATGTGAACAGACTCTGACCAAAGATTCTCTTTGAGAAAGCATATATTTCATACTAATTCTAAACATGTAGAAGGGATGCCATTTTAAATGTGAACACTACACTGTGGGGTGATGCTTCTGCATTTCCTTCAAAACATTTTTTAAAATAGCAAAGAATTCAGCATGAATTGGTCAAAATCACTTAAGAAAAATGTGAAAGAAGAAGAAGAAAAACAACAAGAAAATCAATGATTCCTAGGTCTGATCAGATATTAACTACATAATGCTAGTTTTAAGACAAGAACTAAAACAATGAAAGTCTGGTTTAATTATTTTGCTCCCCAGATGAATCACATTTTATCCTATAAATGCCAATTCCAAAGGACACAAATTCACTATACAGTAACACCTTAGCTGAAGGAATAACTAACAGGAAGAATGGATAAAGTTCTTAACAAATAGAACTCAAAAGTACAATCCAAGTACACCAAGTATACCTGTAGTCTATATAAAACTAAGTTATCCACTTCAAAATTATGAATAATAACTAATGTACTCAAAAAAACAGAACTGAAATGAAACATGCACTCAATTCAGTTCACTGTCTGAACTTTCTATCCTACCTTAAGCTGTTAAAGCACAAGCTCTAAATTGCATATTCCCTACATTTTCCAGTATCTAGATATAAAAAGCACAACTTTTCATACACTCTGAGAAAAGTAAATTCCAGTGTAGTACAGTAACAATGCAGAAAACTGTTGTTGTTCGGCTTAGTGAAATCTCCAAGTCAAGCAGGGTTTTAGAAACTTCTCAATTTCAGTTTCCTAAGGTTTGAACTGAACTCTACACAAATTCAAGGCAGCACACAAGAGACTTGGTGGGTTCCAAATTTTGAACTTTACACAGTGCAGGTCATCTTGCAAACAAATAAATAACCAACACAAGGTAAGAAGAAAGGCTACAACACTAAAATCACAGAAAGGGTCTGAAAGATACCTTCCCCCTATGAAATACAGCCCTAAGCTACTCAGAAAAACCCATGGCATATGATCTGTTTGATGACAACGTTATTCTAGAAAGTGGAGGGAACTGCATGTCTTTGTAGGATATGTCTTCTGCTGGTCACCAACCTCAGCTTAATTCTTTAAGCAGGTGAGCACTAGCTATGTGTGAGCCTTGACACACCTCTCAAATTTCAATCCTACAAGAGTATAGTGAGAAAAAATGTAAAGTGGGAATCCAAGAGATTTTAAAGGGGTGGGGGAAAAAAAAGGAGAGATGTATACCTCCAATGAGACATGAATATCACTTCCTAAGGTGCTTTGACTATTTTAAAGTAAAAAAAAATAGTGAAGAAACTGTTTCAAGCCTTCACTAAACTGAGTGATATGCACTACATGGAAGCACTTCTGTAAACAATTACTGAAAGAATTTTGGGCACCTCTAATATGTTTCCTAATTTTATGACACAAACCCCAAAAAACTCTTGTGATAAGAAACAAATTTGGTCTCTATGTGCCCAGCATCATATATTCCTGGCAAAATAAATCACAAGAAAATAAATTAGTCTTATCAATCATAAAAAGATTACAGATCACTGATTACATCAGATTTGTGAACTTCTTTACAGTCTGCTTCTTAAATTCTCTCTTCCATATACATAAGCATCATGTATTTAAACAATATGTTTTATACAACATACCAGCAACTTGCATACCAAAAGTACAATAACTGATTGTCCAGTTTCATTTGGATAGTAAAGAAACTCCCTTTAAGAGTGTATTCCTGTGCTGGTTCAAAATTAGATCTAGCAAGATATACCTTATCACAAAGACAGACATGAGCTGTAATTTCTGCACCTAAGAAAAATTCACCATCAAAACTACAACTTGTCAAAAATCCCCTATCACCAGGCCCATTGCATCAATGCCTACCTGCACACACAGACTCATACACATGTCTATGTTTGCATCACTCAAAACCACTGAAAACAAGAACTCAATGCAGTACAGTTCCCAGTACCCTATACTCTGCATAGAATTCACAGGCCAGAATACTTGCAAGGATGCAACTGGAAAGTCAGATCCCATTTAGTCATGTTCAAATATAAACTGTGAGAATTTAAATAAACCTAAACCAGGAACACAATGAAGACAAAGTGGAAAGTGATAACAACTCAGAAATTGTGCCAGCACCATCCATTTTAATATTCTACATATGCAGAAGTGCAACAAAAGGTAAATTACAGAACACCATCATAATACACTCAATATGAGTGTCTAAGTGATCTTCAGTGTTAAAAACACGGTGAAGTGCCTACAAGGCAAGGACGTAGTGACTAAATATCACACCTATTTGGTGTTCATGCATTTACTCATTATTTTTGTACAAATACCTGAAAATTTGAGTCCACAAAGACTAAGGTACTAAGTTAGAAAAATATCAAGAGTAGTAAAAATTACATAACATAGGTTGTCAGAATGACTTAACATTAATTTGACAATCTATTTATTCCTGTAATTGGACATATACATGTTATTGACCAGCTACAATTGTAGTGCTAAAAGGCACCATTATAGTGTTGTATATCCTTCTTCAGATTATTTTATATACCATGAACCTTTATTTCCTTATCAAGTTTTCTCAAAAGATGCCAAATTATAATTTTTAACAGAGGAGAAAAAGAGAATGTCTTAACCACAGAAGCATGGCAGATATGCTTTGCAACAAAAGGCTAAAAATCCTAACATGAATTTCTTTTCAAATAGCAGAACTTATTACAAAGTGGTGGAGTGCAGCTCTCTACTTGCTGCAGAAAAAAACTGAGACTGAAAACGCATCATCATTGATAATGACTTAATTCATGCTGACTGAAGCAATATGAAAACTTGAAATTATTCTTTAGCCTTCCTGTGATGCAGAGGTAACTCAATTTAATTCTACAGATTTTATACCCAAGTAAAACATACTGTCAACCTGAAACTAAAAAGAAAAGTTAATTTATAAAACAGATTACTAAGAAAGTTGAGCAAGTTTCATTATATGGAAGAATAAAAGTTTATATTAAGAGAGAGTTAAAATAAGAACTGAATAATGTATTATGAAAAAACAAGAGCTACTCCTTATATGTCTGTATAATCAAGTATACAAAGAGTTTCTGTCATCAGGAAAGAGGGAGTTAAAATGCCTTTCCATTTCTTTCCTTTCCTTCCCTCTCTAATGAACACCTGTTAGAAAGGAAGAGCTGTTAAAAGAGCCAGCAGAGTAACAGGATGGGTAGTGCATTTGGAGGAAATCACAGATCCTTCAGTGGGCACAGAGGCTTGTACTGATTTCCAGGAGAGACAGATTCTGGTTTGTTAGTTGCACTGCTTTCATCGATATTTATAGCAAGATCAAATCATGAACAGACGTCACATTTGCTGCTCCATCACTCCTGTTATTAGTTATCTTAGAAACTCACAGAATATTTTGCAACAGTCAATGCAAATGGTAAGAGACCAAACTACTGAGTTGTAGCAGCATTTCCCTTTGAGCTCAACCCAAATTTGAATTAGTAGGTTCACTACAGCAAGGGCATAATTTGAGTTCTCAAGACTCCATCAACTTAATAATGGCTCCCTTGGAAGTGGTGGCACTCCCACTGTTGAAAAAGGTTACAATCTTTTGGGCCAAGAAATCAGTCTGAGCTCCTAATTTCTAAGTTGGTGAAATTTTAAAAGAAGCTTATTAGTATCTAATAATCTCAAAAATTTAGCACAATCTGTTTTGGCACTAAGTGCCTTAGTACCAAGAACAGAATCAGAAAGATCACACCTCCTTTATCTGACTGATGTGATAAATGTGATTTTGTGCTCTTACTGCCATTGTCATTGTCAGAAACAGCTATATTACAGATCTCCTAGGAGAATAGCAATGCATGAAAAACCCTCACAGCAAAGTTATTAAAACCTGAGAATCAAAGCTTGAAGCTTGCTGAAAACTGAAAAAAACAAACCCCAACCCAGGATACACATTTCTACCATTTCCTCAATAGTCTCATTTCTAGTTGTGGGTGTACAGCTATATCCATGGCAAAAAAATTAATCTTATGCAGGGGACAGAGGCATCCTGAAAATATTAACCACCAATTTTGTCATCTGTCACTTTATCACCCACTAGTCAGTGCTTTACATATTTGGAAGTTGAAGAGGAAAACTTTCTAGTTACCAACACAAAATGTTACTTAGTAATTTCTGTCCTTTTTGAGTCCAAATATACTGCACTGATCACATACACAACAGAGTGTTTTAAGCAAAACATAATTTTTGTAACAGTAAGACTTACCAATCCACTTAAGGCTAAAATCCAGATGTAGGAACCAGAGGTTAAGAGCTAGAAGACAAAAGCAGGGGTTTAAATTTTTATTTTGCAAAGCTGTGGCTATAAGAAACACTAAGTTGCCATTTGATATAGGTTATGCTCTCATCATGACAATAGGAGAGGTCAGACTTTTACGTCTGTTAAAATTCAGTTTAACATTAAAAAAAAAAGTATTTCAGAAGCAGCAAGTGGAAAAAACACAGGGATCCAACAATTGTTCTCCTTCTACAGAACAATACATTTTATTTTCATATAGCTTACTAAGTATAACAGGATGTCAGTTATAGGCTGCACCAGAAAAACAGGTCTGAAAGAGACACAGAAGCAAAGGAAATGACTCAGCAGCAACAGGAGAAGAGTTCCAAGCAGGCAGGCACTCCAAGTGAAGCTCACAGACAGACTAAGCACAAGCATCAAAATTAAAGAAATAAAGTTCTTACCCAGTGATATATTTGCTGACATGAAATCACAGAAATAAGTTGGAGCATATTTTTTAAAAAATCCTGATAAGCCAACATGGCAGCCCATAATTTCTAGCAAAGTATGTGACTAATCACCTGGAGAAGGTTATTACCGACTGGAAAAATGGACTGAAAATGGTTACTAAAATGTTTCTGCATGATGCTGACTGAATCATGAGAACACCTTCCATCTAGAGTTCTGACTATGGAAAGAGTGACTTGAGATAAGGGCAGAATTTACAAAGGAGAAGGCAAATGAGTCTTCCCTCAGCCTCTGTGTGAAGGCAGCAACTGTGAGTGCTCAGCAGGGAGAGATCCTGCAAAGATGTGGGGGTCAGTGACAGCACTGATCTGCACTGGAGGTGCTGCATGTACAAAAGCAAAAGGCAACAGCCAGGATGGAAAACAGGCCACAAAATATCATGGCCTTCCCAAAGACTGCAATTATAGTGGAATTGATGGGTTCAGCAGAGAGGAAACAAGATTTCTGAAAGATCAAGAAAATAAGGTGTTGAAGCAGAAAGTGAGGGAAACCAAAGGCTGAACAGGAAAGAGTATGAATGAAATGTTCATGTGGAGCACAAGACAATAATCTGAAATGGACTACTTATTCTAAAATACTCTTTACCACATTTCACATTTCCTCATTGTTAATGCCAGAGCTACTTTTGAACCTTTATAATATATAGAAGTGAGCCTCATTTTCATAAATTTGCACATCTCCTATTTCATAATTCAAGTTGTGACACAAGTGTCCATTCATTTCTAGGCTGTTGGGTTTTGGAGTTTTTTAAATTGTTTTTTGAATAATTACTGGCTTTCTATACCAAGATATTTTTCCAGTCATATTTCACAGAATACTACATGATGTTGCATTGCTGCACGTTACACTATTTTAAATTACTTCTCATATGGTAATGTATGATATACAAATAAGATTAATTTATATAAAAGTGAAATTCTGCCAAAACCTTGATTATTTACTAACAGTCTTACCCATAAGAAATACTGTATTCTACAGCTTTGTTTGAACTCCAATAGACAGGGGAAAGAAACAAGCAAATTCAAGAATATAAGCAAACTAGAAAGGTGAAATATATATACACTTAAGGATCAGGTTCCATTTTAATTTCTTTTAGTCTAATTCATTTTACCGATCAAAAGAAATAACTGCGGTATTGCCTATTGTATTTTCTCATGTAAGACAAGGTAAGGACAGATCACTTGCTCACCACTTCAGCATACTAGAAACACATGTTTCTCTGTTTTAGCTGATGGGATAGTTACTAGCTAAATGTATGCTGAATCATGCATGGGGAAGCATCAAAATTCATAGACAACCAGAAATACTAACTACTACATTATTAGTTCATGAAAAGATGAACAAGCAAGTACATACCATACCTGTAAACCCAGTATATAGACCAGAGACTTGTTTGTGATAGAAAAGTGGCCCAATACTTGTGTCACCTGCACTCTTGGAATGGAGGAATAAAATGGAACAAACAGCGCAAACACAGGACCCAAGCTGCGAAAAGAAAGATACAGATGGTTATAAGAATGATACTAAAAACAGTCGTGTCAAACAATGAAAGGAGTTAATTTTAAGTACGTAACAATCAAAATGTTACACCACCTCGCAAACAAAGGTCTTCCTCAGGAACCAACACTAGATAACTTGTGGCATTCAATGCAATAGATTCATTAGCAAATAAGAACAAGTGACAAAAAGTATTTTGTTTCCAAATGTTTAGGACTGGAGGCAGAAGAGCAGGCAATATATTTAATCTAATAGCAGATTCTTTCCATAAAGCACAGCACACACAAGAACAGCAGTAATCTCCTGCAGCAGAACAAACAATGGTTCAAATGGACAAATGGTAAGGACTTTACCTTTCCCAAAAGATTAAGAAAACCACTTCACTCACGAAGCTAAGCTCCTGATATTTACCCAGACATAAGGTGTTAGAGGATTGTCAATAGAATACAGTATCTAAGATGGGAATACTGACAGTTTGATTTAACTTCCCTTTGCCAGTCACTCCCATGGCCCTACAAATAAAACTTCCTTTAGGGTCCTCATCTTAATCATAACACAACATGTTTTTTAAGTTTTTAAACCATCACCAGAAGGAGGTTCATAGAATCTAAGACTTCAAGCACTTTTTACAGTGACCAGATGCTTAGACTGACCTTGTGAACATGAACTACTGTATTTCATTCAGACACTCAATTTTGCATATCATGCTTTTTACACAAACAAAATACACCTGTATAAACACACACAACAAATTCTTGAAATAAATTTAAATTATTTAAGTTGTAAGAGTCAAAGTGCTGAAAGAAAGTAACATACAAAAATTATTCTTCATCTGAAGTTACTCCATTACAGACAATATTCACTGAATAAATCAAGTTTTATAAATGAAGATAGAAGAAAAACAAAGAAAATTATATTTTCTCTTCTTAGAAAAGTAATTTTAAATTATTTCTTTGTAATCGGACCAAATTGACTGAGAGAATACCACAATTGTGGCATGCTTTTCAGGTTTTATTGATCCTGTGATAAACTGTGACTCAGACACAGAGATTTCACATGCAAGAGTGCACTCAATCATAAGATGGGAAAGTACAAAAAGGAATTTCCCGAGACTGCAAGTGCATTTTAAAAAGAGATTAGAGAATGCTAAAAGGTTCCCTAAATGCTAGTATTCACCATTTATGTCAACAGAGACCACAGAAAGCACCACCCCAGTCCAGACTAGTGATCAACTTAATTCAAAGTCCAGTGTCTGGAACTGCTCAGTACACAACAACTTAGAGGAGCTGGAGGAAACTTAGTGATAAGCCTTTTCTCCTAAAACAGTGAGTTCATAGGCACCACAGAGGTATGCTTCTACAAGCATCAGTGTTTGTTTTTGAGACAAGAGTTCTCATTTAATATAAATAGGTAATTTCCAAATATCCATTCACGTATATTTTTTTAAATGTTCAAACTTGTGCCCCTCAAAATGCTGTGTGAAACTCATTTGTACAGGTAACTCCACAGTGTGAAATTTCATTTCAATTATTTTAAACTTTCACCTTCAACTTTCTTTATATAACTCTGTACTTTGAACTTTTCCCTTAATATTTTTTGTTGCCTTCAGTATTTCCAATAGTTTACTTATGCCTTTTTTTAGAATATCTATATGGGGATGCTGCTTATCTACAGCAGGTCTGTCAGGGAAGTTATCCACATAATAGTACCAAAATATGGCTGACATAGTAAAGTACAACAAAAGGATGGTTAAGGAAAATGTGGACCCACTGGTGAAAAAAGGAACCTGGTGACAAAGGACAAGAAAAAAGCCAGGGCATTCAATGTCTTTTTTGGGTCAGTTTTCACTGGTTAGTTTTGCCCTCAGGCTTTGCAGGTCCCTGAGCCTCCTGTGGGACTGGAGCAACACCAGCTGCAAAGGAAGACATTTTGGAGGCTCTTGATCCCAACTGATCATACAGGAGACAAAAGGACCAGACAGGCTGTAGCCCAAGGTTCTGAGGGAGGTGGCCAATGCTACATCACTGAACCATCTTAGTTATTAGGGCAGGATCCTGATGACTGGGTAATTGCAAATGTCACATCCATCTTCAAGGAGAGCAAGAAGAGGATCCAGGTAGCTACAAGCCTCACATCTATCCTTGGGAAAGTTACAGAGCACAGCTCCTAGAAGCCATTGCCAGCTACATGATGGACAAGGCAGCTGCTAATAACCCATATGGATTTACCAAGAGTGACTCTGATGCTGTGGATAAGGAAGGGGAAGATGGCAAATGCTGTACACTCTGACTTTAGGATGGCCTTTAACTTGAATTCCTCTTTAGCCCTTAAAGAAAAATCGGGAAGATATGCACTGTATAAGCAGATTTGAAGGAATCTGACTGCATTGCTGAATTCAAAGGGTTCTGATCAGCAGCATCAATTTTAATGGCAACCACTTACTAGCAGCTTCCCTCAGGAATCCATACTGGGATGAACACTATTTATTGTCTTTATTAAACAACCTCTACGATGGGACAGAGCAACTGAATGAAATGAAATTGGAGGGAGCAGTCAAGACTTTGGAGAGCAGGACCACATTCAGCTATTCTTTGATGGACTTAAGAAATGAGTTGACATTAGGAATGTTAGGGACAACAGAAGTAACCATGGAGTGCTCTATCTGGGTTGGAACAACCTTGTGAAGTGGCACAGACTGGCTACAAAACAAATTTGCAGACAAGCAGCTGGAAAATCCTTTGAGTATTAGTCAGCCACTGAGTATCACTTGATCCTCGCAGGAAAGGTCAATCACATAGAGGGTAGCATTATCAATGTGTTACCATCAGGTCAAGAGAAGTTATTGCTCAGCACTTCTGAGCCTGAACCTAAATCATTGTGTCTGCTTTCAGGCTTCATGCTTCAAGAAAGGGATTAATATGGAGCAAGTTCAGATGGGATAATGATGGTCCAGTATTTTATCAGGTTGCCCAGAGCTACAATCTCCATCCTCAGAGATATAGCCTGGACACAGCCCAAAAGAACCGATTCTTGTTGAACATGTTTTGAACCCAGGGTTGAACTAGATGACTGTCAGAGATCATGTCAAACCTAAGCTACCCTACTGTTCCGTGAATAACCAAAGCCTTACTCCTCATAAGCTCATAATCACTGGAGGAATGTCTGTTCTTGTATTTCACTGGAGAGGTACAAACACCCATCCACATACTGTAAATAAAAGGACTGGCTCTTAACTCTTTTAGTTATGCTAATTAGTTGTTTGGTAGCATATATCAGATTCAACATCTACAAGTGGAAAACATTCTTATTGAAAGACTACTTCAGTGTTTTCTTTTCCTTCACTTCTTTCTTATCCTCTTATTTTTGCTTTCCCTCTCATCTTTTTTCCTGTGCTTTCTCTCCTTTTGCAGAGACCTTCACCACAGCCCATTGTTCTTTATACTTTGAGAATCTATTATACTATAAGAATATAATGAACATCTTTTCATGTGCCATGATTAATTTCTACTAGAAATCTGTGATGTCTGTGTGCAAAGAAAGGCTATAGACACAAGCATATTCTGACTCTGAACTGAGTTTTCGCCCACTTCATATTTAGGAAATTAATTTTAGTCATGTGGGGTAGAAAAGGAAATTTTCCAAAAACCAGAAAACTCTAAAACCTGAAAACTAAATTCTGGAGTTTGAACATTCCACGTGGACAGCATGTCCGATGTACTGCAGTAGCTGTCTCTACAGTAATTATATCCTCATTTTGAAGAGCATCTTAAATTTCAACATTTGAATTGAAACAGAAACACTGTGACCAGATGGGAACATTCTTCATCACGTGAATGGGTGAGATTTGTTTTCTTTGTACAAAACCAAAGACATACAGAAACAATATCCTTGAAAAAAAACAAATCAGAGATGCAAAAATTACTGTCAGAGAAGAAAAAAATCAGGGGCGGGTACATCTTATAATATAAATGCACTACTGGAAGTCTAAACCAGTGACTATTAAATTTGGATTAAAATAAAACATTAGCACTAGCAAATATATGCACAAAACAGAGGGAAAATGGTTCTAAATTGCATGAACAAAGGGTTAGAAAGCTAAATAAATGTAGCTTTTGCAAAAATACTTGCTGCTGTCAATAAAAGTTCTGTGGGATTAAGTTTGCAGAAATAACCTATTTTATTCAGAATGACTCACTACACTTACTAACTGCGGTGCTGTGTTTTTCTTCGTTTAAGTTCTTCAAAAAACCATCAAACTGACAAATTCACAACCACGTATTTTTGGGGGGACTAAAAATATCACTTATAAAAAAAAGCTGCAGATAACACAAGCACGCAAACAGTGCACTTGCAATTCAAGTTACTAAGTTATTTCAGTGACCTGTGTTCCTACAGTCAGTCCAAACACTGCCATATTACACTTAAGGTGCCACCTTTTAATCTGAACTTGCTAAATATTCACAATAACCTTAAAATTAAGTAACTCCATGGGATGTGACCAGCTCTGATGATTGTATTCCTCTACCTGCTGGAGCCCTGGACTAAAGGACTTACCTACTGCACCCAACCCTTTCACTACACATGAGCAGGACACCCCATTGCCTGAGGTTTCTCAATAGCATCAAAAGCATTAAGCTTTACTCAATACTCACTAGCTAACACCAATATTTCACTGGAAAGCAGCAAGAATGCAGAGAAAAATTTAAAAATGCATCTGGAGGTGAAAAGAAAGGTTCCTCCTGTTCATGGATATCTCTGCAGAATCTGTGCAACTTGCAGTTCATTCAAATTTGAGACTAACCATCTAAGCAATACTTTACAATCCCCTCATGAACGCACAAGTCAGACACCTATCCTAAAGCAAGCTATAGTTTTTAATGCCAAGGCTATCCAACAATGTATTTTGTAACCTCCTGGGTTCCATGTTACTCACCTTGCCTGCCAAAAGCTGAAGAATGTTTGCACATATATGGTAAACACAAATGTAC